AATTAAAAGAACATCATTTTTTCAAGGAGTACATTTCTATATTACAAAATAATAATTTTTAAATTAAAAAACCCTTACTTACTATTAAAAATTTCTTGTCATTAAATAATTTTTATTTTATAATATATTTCAATTTAAATTACAAAACTCATTTTATTTCCAAATTTAGGACACATAATTACAAATGTTAACCTTAACTGTAGTAAGTGGTGGTGTTTAACAACACCTCCATAGATCCCAGACCCTTTTTTTCTTTTCTAATTTTCTTTTTTCTTGGGTTGATCGCCCAGTGGATTTTGCCCTTCTCTCTCTCTCTCTCTCTCTCTCTCACAATGCATGATGTTGGATCAGTTTGTAATACTGACCACAGTAGCTATTATTGGCTCTTGTTAATCAATTATCAACTATCACAAAAAAAAAAAATTAAAATGTTAAATTTCAATGAATTAGGACACACTCACGCATATTATTTACATAAAATATTGATTTTATATCCCTTCATTGCATATTATTTACATAAAATATTGATTTTATATCCCTTCATTATAAATAAAATGTAGATAAATTTTAAGCATTTAGAGAGTGAAAAAATAAATAATCAAAATTTTATATAAATAATATATATATAAATTATATATAAATAAATCTTAACTCAATGTCAATATGTAATATATATATATATATTTACATTTCTATGTATGTTTTAGGTTGTATTTGATATTACTGTAAAATATTATGATTATAGTTTTTTTAATATTTTATTATGAAAAAAATTGTTATTATTTAATAATTATTTTTAAAAAATTTTTATACATTAATATGACTATTATATTATATAAAATATTAATTAAAATTAATTTAATAATAATAATATAATATTTTTATAAAGTCTTGTGCGAAAAAATATAATTGAAGGTAATACCATTAGCAACCTTACAACCATTAGATTTGGCTAATGGCAAATTGCATTCTAACTATAAACCACAAAATTGGATGCCTATTTTTTTAGCACAAAATTCTTGATTAATACCAATTAACTAATAATAAATTTTCAGTTAAGAATCTAAA